TTTTCTTAGCTTTTCTTAGCTTTGCCTGTTTTTTGACATGTTCCATGGTCTTCCTGTACTTTTCCTGCCATGCTGAAGACGCCCGCTTAGAAGCGGCATGGGATGTGTTTTTATGAAAGGAGCACCTCCGCTTTCGCGCCGTCTGTGATGAGCGGATCACCCTCCCCCTCGAGGCCTTTCAGGATTTCCCTGAGATCTACAGCAAGCTCTCCACTTCCCTTGGCCAGGACGCGGTGGTTGAGGTGAAGATGGCCTGGCGCTGTAACACTGAGCAGTGGTGGGCAGCCCGGCTCAAGCCCGAGTACGCGGGGCCGATCTACCGGAAGCTGGGCTATTCGGAGAGCTATATCCAGGGCCTCAACCTCGGGGAAAAGGACACCTCAGCTGCCTTTGGCGCTGAAAGGATTGTCCTGGAGCTCTCCTTGCCCCCAATCACCCCGGACAACGTCTGGCCCGTATGGAGTGCGGCCTGGTCTTGAGCTCGGTCTCCCCCTGGGAGGTCGTGGACAAGAAGAAGGGTGAAACCCGGGGCGGTTATGTTTGCAGACATTGCCGCGGATTTTGGCGCGGGGGCAAGGGTTCCAGCCGCTTCCTCTTGATCACGCGGGAACACAAGGGCAAGGCCGCGCAAATTCAGCTTATCCTTGACGAGCCCCCCGCCTACCCTCTATCAGGCCTGGGTCAAGGACAGGATCGAGTTCTACAAGCGCGTGGAGCCCATGGCAGCTCCCCGGGACCGGTCGCTCCGGGTCAATCCGAACCTCAGCTCCAGACTGAGGTTCAGCAAGATGAACCACATGGGCAATGTCTCTGACCTGATCTGGTCAGTGGTTCTCTCGAACCCAGAGAAGGACGGGCTGAAAAAGATCCATGAGATCGCTGCTTCCCGGGTCCGCCCGGCCTGAACAGTTCTTTTGGGACTGGAAAGGGGGAACCCCTCCCAGGTGCCTTTGGGTTTGAGGGGGGGCTTTCCCCCTCTGCAACTTTAAATTTTGACCTGCTGGGGCCCCCTCCCCCCACAGGCGCCTTTGGCCCTTGAGGGGGGGGGTACTATCCATCTCCTGCTCGGGCCTTGGGCTCGTGCTGTAGTCCTTTCTTCGGCGAGTCCTTGCCAGCTGGGGAGGTCGCTTCCAGGCGCCTTTGCCCTGATGGACCTCCCTGGGCGAACAGAGGCGAGGATAGCACACGACCGGACGACTTGCAGCTGTCGGCTGTGTGAAAAGTTGAGCTCTTAGGGCTTTTGTTTCCGTTCCCCCTTTTCTTTCTCCCCTTCTTCCGCGCCCTAGCCTAGTCTTTTGGCTCAGGATGGATACCTTTTCCTTCTGTGCTCCGTCCCCCTTTGGGCGAGCTCTTGTTCGGGCTCCGGACCACCTGATTTCGGCGCTTGCAGAGCACTCTATACGACCGCTGCAATCGGATGGGGAGACCCTTACCGGGGTGCTCTTGGACCCGATCCTACGTGGCTCGGGCCGCTCCATTGAAGAGGAGCAAGTCGATGTGAGCTGTCCAGGGGGCCAGGCAGTCGTCGATTTCCTGGCTCGCTGTAGACCCCTTCAGGCAATCGATCGCATCTTAAGGGTCCCGGAGAAAAACACCCCCTGCAGTGGTCCTCTCCTACCGACCCACCAAGGTCTTCCAGGATATTGTGGAGAGAGCCCTGTCTCTGATGACAGGCCCTAAGGAGGAGAAGGAAACTCCTCCTTTCCTCACTTTGGGATCTTTGTGTTAAGACATCGGAAGGCACCCCTTCTGATCTGCTGCCCGAGGTCATTCTGCGCCGTGCAGACCGTGACCGTATCGCCTGGAACCGGCTTAGGGAAGGGATCCTTATCACCCCTTGCGCGGTCAGCCGTTGGAGGCATTGGAAGCCAGGTCAGGTTTCCGAGCACAAGGTAGTTAACCAACGGGCCTTGGAGAGAGGCCTCAGGGAGAAATGGGGAGAACGGCTCCTCTCTTTCCTCCTACCGGTGGCCAACAAGATCCCGCGCATGGCTGCACTGATGCCCCCTGGTACCACGGCAGTTTCGCTGGAGCTCAAAGGGGAATTCATGGATCTTTTAGGCGATGCGAGGTTCCGCACACTTAGGATGCGTTGCCTCTCCTACGAGGAACTTCGGCGCCTTGGCTTCACGGCAATACCCTGGAAGGAATCGGATGTGCGTGCCCTTCTCAACACACTCAGGGATCGTGAGGTCTCACCTCACAAGCTCCAGCAGGTTTGGGACACTCTCAAGTGGTTCGGTAAAAAGTTTGGTTCGGTAAAAAGTTTGGTCTGCTCGCCATTGACGAAATCTTTAGGCTCACAGAGAAGAAGAAGTCCCTCTCTGAGACTCTCGTCAGCACGGTGCACCGCCCGATGAGAAAGGCCCTGGTCCCCGCTAAGGCCTTCGTGATCCAGTTGGAGGAAACGGCCGCCAGAGCTCCCACGGGAGCCGACTCCAGGATCCATCTGATGGACTCATTCATCTGCGGCATTGTCAGGTTCCAGATCGGGATCAGTGCCCGTTTCAGTGACCTTCAGCACACCAGCCTCGATACCCTCAGGATCACCTCCACCACGGTGGAGCTGGCGGCTTGGCAGACCAAGACCCACTCGGCGGTGACAGTCAAGAAGAAGCCGGTCCCCCTCATTTGCCCCAAGTACTGTTTCTCGGGCAAGGACTGGTGGACTCCCTTGATCGCTACCTGGCGTAAGCTTGCAGCCACCCCCATGTTTGACGGGATGGACTACCTCATTCCCACGGTGGGGAAGGACTACGATGGCTTTATTTCCTGACCTGGCACTCCTTCCGGGTCTTTATGCCCGACTGTGCTTTCCAAGCCCAGGTCCCTCGTGACCAACGTCAATATCTGGGTAACTGGATGGCGGAGAGCACGGCAGATGTCTACACCAGAGAGAAGCGAAACGTGGTCTGCGCCATCTGGGACAAGGTCACTTCCAACTTGGACGCCATTGACACGGATGGTTCCCGGACGATGAAGATCGATCTTTTCCAGGAAGACGCACCGGACTCGCATCATGGCGGGGCTCCCCAGGAGGCCCTCCTTGCTTCGGCCTCGGAACGGCTCCCGGTATCAGGGGCCTTTGGCCCTGAGGAGGGTAGCCCAAAACGGGCAAAACAGGTCTCATCGCCTCCCTCCCGCCAGGCGGACAGCCCAGCGTCTAGCTGGCTTGTCACACCGCTCCCTGCCGACGAGGTCCCGCCACCTCAGGGCCCATGGACTCCAGTCTCATCCAGGCTGATTCGAGGCAGCAAGCGGAAGATCCACCTTCTCAATCAGGACTTCCTGGCGGTGGGCTGTGGATGGAGCCCCTCTACGGAAAAGGTCGAGACCCTAAACCCCATTGACTACCAGAACGAGAGTGACTCCTTCACCCTCTGCGCCAGGTGTTTCCTCCACTTCTCCCTGCAGGCAGAATTCCGGACAGGAGGGGTAACAACGCCTAAGCAAGAACCCCAGCTGGGGGACTCGAGTGAGCCTCACTGACGACTCCGTGGACACGGCGGCATCGGAAGCGGAAAAGGTCACCTATCAGGACCTTGACAAAGCTCTCGCATCTAAGGACCCGCCGTGAATGGACGCCATCCTTCGGGTTTGGCTTGGTTGTGCCGTCCATCCTGCGGCTTTGGCTTCTTTATGGACGGCACAAGTTTTGGAGCCTGTTTTCTTTATGGAAAGGGGTCCCCGAACCCCAGGTGCCTTCGGCCCTGAGGGAGGGGACCCTCCAGTGGCTACGGCCAGATCTCGGGCTTACAGTCGTATCCGACCGAAAGGATTCTCTGGGAGTCGGCAGCCACACCAATCCACCATGCAAAAAGGAGTTCCGCCCGCATGGTTTTTGGTGTGCCATTTTCATGCGGATATCTGACATTAACTACTTGCAGAGCTTGCCGAATTGCACGGTTTATGTCAGGAGACGTCTGCCAAAATGGCTCTGCCATTTTGGCCCAAGATTGCGGACCGTGGGTCCTTGTGAAGATTTTACCCGCCCGCCCTTCCCTATGGCGCATGCAGACTTCTTAGCCAAGCCCCCAGAGGGCATCCCGGACGCCTACGCTAACGATGTGGCGAGCCTCCACTCCTCGGTTGCCACGCTCTTTGCGAGGAAGCAGATTCCTTACTCAGTCCAGGCAGCCCTAGCCCGCGAAGGGTACGTCACCTTGGAGGATGTTGCAGATCGTTGGGATGATGCGTCCGCAGCCAGAACCCACGGGCCTAGGGCACTGGGCTTTGAGTCTGGTGCCAATGGCTGCACGGAACGGACAAGCTCCTTCACGGCCATGAAACTTTTTCAGGCAGTCAAGGCTGCGAAAGACATGACCAAGAACCTCTACGCGCCCCGCTCGGTGACTACTCCAGGCCAGGGCTCCACGGAGCGCTCGGGCCTTGAAGTTCTTTGCGATAGGCACCAACTCCTCACGGAATGGGTCAAGGAAACTGGCCTCCCCAAGCCCAAGCTCAGGGTAGTGACTCGCTGCTCAAGACCCAGTTTCGCTTCTGCTCCAAAGGTGAACTAGGATTCATCAATGCTAAGTACATCATCAGTGCCCTCCCGGAGCTGGAGGAGAAGCCTTTCAAGACGAAACGCAAGGTTACCGTGGACGGTTGGGACAAGGAAGAGGAAGAAGAAGAGCGCAAGCTCCCGACAACCAGCAGACTCCTGGAGCGCATGCACCGTGTGTTTCGCAATAACTTGTCCATGTGCCTGCTCGCCTTCCCCCAGTTTACACAGTTTGATGTCTCGAAGCACGACCTTGATGACTGGTATGACTGGTTCTGGGGACCAGACATTGCGGGCAGGACCCCGACTCCCTCTGAGAAGACCTTGCTCTATGCGGAGCGGAACGCGTGGAGATCAATCCACAACCTTGTCTTCGAAGGCAAATCGCTGAAGGGGGCGATGATGGAAGTCCGAGCAGACGCCCTCTTCTGGACCCGTGAGGTCTACGAGAGGATTCCCCGTCCAGGGGAGAAAGGCAATAAGGGTCCAGTCAAAGGTGACAAAGGCAAGCAATTCGGGAAGACCCCTGGCAAGGGACCGTGGAAGGGCAAGCAGTCTTGGCCCGCGTATCAGCCTGTCTTCCAGCCCTTCCTCAAGCACAATGGCAAGGGGAAGGATCCGGGCAGGAAAGGGGACCAGAAGGGCAACGGGAAGGACGCCTGGCCCCAGAACTGGTCCAGAAACAACCCGAAGGGCACGCCTTTCTGCAGGGATTACCACATCAAGAAGCAGTGTGCAGGCAACTGTGGACGTTCCCACAACTGCCCTGTGACAAAGGATGGCTGGGTGTGCAATGCGGCCCCGCACGAGCACGGCCCTGACAACTGCCCCTATAAGTGATGGCTCCCGAGCCCAGGCGCCTTTGGCCCTGAACCGAAGGAGGATATTGTGGAAGGGACGCAGTGCCCTCTTCCGGCCCCCAGGCGCCTTTGGCCCTGACTCCGGCAGAGCACGGGATAGATCGCGCTCCCCTCGGGGACAGCGAACCGATGCGGGTTGCACATACCCTGCTCGGACAGTGCCTAAGCCTTCCGATAGTAAGTGCTCGGATGACAGGCCCTGCTCGTTGGGGCTCTGGATTGAGAACCACTATCCAGGCTGCCTGCCGGACGCAAGTCCCTGGGGCTGGCTCCAGGGTGTCCCGAGCCGTCTCGTGGACAGACTCAGGTGGCCTACTGAGTGCTCTCCTGCTGAGGTGCCCAAAGACGCGGGCAGGGACGATGCTTCCTCCCTGGAAGCAATCCTGCACTCACAGGCCCCGGAGCTCTCCTCGAGAGTTCTGGCATTTGATTCCCTGCGTAAACCCAGTGGCAAAGATCTCTTGAAAGATGATCTCTATGGGGCCCTCTGTGTCTCCGCATTACAGGGGTCCATTTCATTTGTTGGAGCCTGCCCAAATTTCTGCACCTGGAGTAAGGAAAGGTGGTGCCAGGACTCAGGCGAGTACCATGCTGAAAGATCCCGTGCCTCTCAGGATGCTTGGGGCATTCAAGCCCGACCCACTGAGGCCCTAAAGGCTGCAGACGAGGAGAGTCTTCTCCTCTTAAGATTTCTTCTGCTGTCGTGGTTGGCTGCTCAGTGCGCCGCCCCTTCAGGCCGAACCAAATTTGTCTGCTTCCTGGAACTTGCTGAGGACCCGGCAAGAGGAGCGTCTTCTCCCGTTCGGAGACGCTGCTCCTCGGCTTGGGCTACTCCGACTCTTCAGTCTTGGATTTCGGACTTGGGTTTGGTTCAGCTCCACTTTGACCTTTGTCACTTCGGCTCTTTGGATCGTCGCCCCACACGGGCTGCCACCAATCTTCCCCTCGACGATTGGAACGGGAAGTTTTGCTCCCACTCGGGGCACCAGAAGTCAGATGGACCGCTCCCCCAGGGCACCCGACGCCCGGAGGCGATGCGTCAGGATATTGCGGCCTCGCTGGCCCGCGCATTCTCTGGTCCATCCGCTGGGAGGCCATTTCAGGCCACACGGAACCCTCTGGAAATCGGCCTTGATCCCTCGCTGGGACAGGAGCGTCCTCGCTGGACGGCTCAAGGGGCAGCACCCGTTGGGGCGGCTGTACTACCCTCCCTACCCTCGCTGGGAGGGCAGCGTCTTGAAGCTGGGTTTCCTGGTGCAGGTACCCATGCTGGCGATCAGGTGCATGCAGCGGCCCAGCAGGTAGGGTCTGATCGGCCATCGACGCTTCCTCTTTTCGAAAGGTTGTCCTTGGATGATGCCACCATGAGAGTGGCCCATGGTTTCAAGGTTAGGCCTCTTAGGGATGGGGGTGGAAAGACCTCCCCTGGTAGGTTCCCGCCTCATCGGCGAACCGGGGTACTAGCTCAGGGCCTTGGTAAATTCATTAAACGAAAGGCCCTGCCTCTGGTGCCGGACTTTGTGTCCTCGACAGCTGCTGGTGAGAAACAGCACCCCTTTCCGGATTCGGTCCTTGAGGAGATTCGTGAGTTCATCCTCCCACAGCATTCCCAGCCAGAGACTGGGCAGCCGTTTTTCCTGGATGTCATCCGTAAACTACTCCAAGACATTGAAGATGTCGACGCGGAGTATCCGGTGATCCTTACAGAGGGTGTGCCTCTTGGAGTGGATACTTCCACTCTCCAATCACCGGGGGTTTGGCCTCTCAAATCCGAGCTTATTGGGGAAGAATGGGATCCGATAGAGGCGCCGCCCCCTTCGGGGCACAAGAACTATCCATCCGCCGATGTGTTCCAAGCTGAAATCAGAGCGACCTTTGTGGAAGAGACCCCCATGCGGATGGTTATCGGGCCGTGCACGCGCGCTGAGGCGGCAGCCCATTGCCAGTGTAGAGAGGATGAGCTCCGATGGCAGGAATTGATGAGTCGGACAAAATCCGTTCCATCATTGATGGCTCGAAGGGAGGGGCAAACCTCCGCATCCAGCAGAACACGGTCGAGAAGACCACGGCTCCCACTGTCATGGACTGTGTCCAGTGTCTGCATTGGCTTCACGCGTCACGGTCCCGCGGTGATCCAGGCGCCGTTGGCCCTGAACCCCCGGGACCGGAAGAATCGAGTTCGCATAGGCCAGCACGGCGCAGCTCCCTGTCAGGCCCTGCCCCTGCTCTGCAGCCCTCGGACACGGGTGAACCCAGCGCCGGCTCCGGCCGTCCTTGGGCTTTCCCAAGTCCAACGGAGGAATGGGTCCTCCTTAAGGCAGATGTCACCAAGGCGCATAGGCGCATCAAAGTGCTCCTCCGGGAGTGGCGATACCAGGTGGCGCAGCTTGGAAAAGAATGGTGGGTGAATACTGTAGGTACCTATGGGATGGCCAGCGCCCAGTTGTACTGGGGCCGCATGGCTGCCATCCTCCTCAGGATTGCTTACGCGGTCTTTCCTGAGGTCGACTGGGGCTTTGTTTTTGTGGATGACTTTGCTTGGTTGCTTCGGAAATCCAGCTCCTCCCTCCTGGCTACTTCCTTGTGTCTTCTGATGCTCTCGCTGGGCACCCCCTTGAGCTGGAAGAAAACGCTTCTGGCCGAGGTCAACACCTGGCTGGGTTTTGTCATAAACCTCAAGGGCCCTTGTGTGCAGATGGCTCGTGATAAGCATCTACTCGTGGTCGGCATCCTGGAAGAACTTAGGAATGGTAAGGTTATGTCGGCCGCTCAGATTGCAAGTGCCTTGGGTAGGCTGCAGTGGGCGACAACGTCTTGTCCCCTCACGAAACCCTTCCTCCAGCCGTTCTGGGCCTGGAAGTTAGGCCTGCCTGACGGCAGGACGGCCGGGGAAGCTGATTCGAGCTCTTTCCTCTCTCCTGCTCTCTCTTTTCGATCAGAAGTTCAAGCGAGCCTCGCCATACGCACCGCTTGCCATTTGGACAGGGGCTAGTGATGCGAGTGCGTCTGATGATGGCAGTGCCTTTGTGGGCGGCTGGCTCTCCAACGTGGCCTCCCCCAAAAAGTCGGACGTCTTCTGGTTCCACTACCAAGTCACACCGGGGGATCACCCCTGGGCCTTTGACAAGGGATGCCCGAAGAAGCGCATCGCAGCTTTGGAGATGTTTGGCACTCTGATCCTGGCCCATTTCCTCATGGAAAAGGCGCCGGCTT